TTTTTTTTTTGTGTGTTCCTTCATACAGCATCAACCACAAAGCCATGTAAGACTAACCAAAGGGAAGCTGCAGGTTTCTAAAAGCCAAAAAAGCTTCTCAGTGCTATAAAAAGCTAGCCAATGTATATTTTGCAGAACAGCAAGTGTGGCCACAAGTGACAATTACAATTAGCTCAAATGTAGTGTATCAGAAACAGAAAGGTCAGCTTGTCAGTTGTACAGACACATCTATCCAAAGTTTGCTAAATTTAGCCACCGCACTGAAAATGTAGCACCGTAAGCTACTGGTCATACCAGACCAGTAAGGTTGCAACAGCAAGTGTGCAAGAGTGTACTGAATTGAGCAACAGTGCTTATGAATTAAACTTTTGTAAGAGGATCAACGTGCTGTATCGTCTTTCATAACTTTGCTTTAAAATACAAAATAAACAAACAGCAGCTAAAACAACAACTTGCATTTGAACAAAGCTCATAAAAGAGGAAGTAGGAGATAACTAAAAACAGGTCATCAGTAAATATAGCACTTTAATGTCCTCCTCTATGAATGAAGTCATGCAGCACAAATAAACTTGTTACCATATTATTCAAATAAGCCTAAACGTTTGTTCGGGGCAGTGTAACGCTTTATAGGTCCGTACATTAACATTCAGAACGGGCATTTTAAGGATATTATGTGACTTTTATCAACAGGTTGTCATGGCTGAGTGATCTGAAAACTAGCTTCTGCTGCCCGTTGCTACACACATACAACACAGACTCACAGCTACTGTCGTCAGTGGTTACAGTCTCACAGCCCCAGTTGATTGAGCCAACATTTAGTGTCAGCACTGCAGTTTGATTACAATGCTTCACTTCTGTCGTAGTGATTCATTTTTGCAACTCAACACTCACATGTTTAATTGCGTAGTCCCATTCAAAGCTAGCTCGGTTACAATGGCACTGAGTATAACATATTAGTGTTTAGGGGTGATAATGTACTGGGATAGCAGTATGCCTCTATACAAGGCAAATACACAATAGAAAGAAATACTTTAAGAAATACTGTAAAAGGAGAAGATAAAGTTGTACAGCAGACATAAGAGCCTCCAGAGAGATTAACAGCAACACTCCCCATATAATGTCTGTCTTATTTTCTAAAAGCATCATTTACTTTTGTTTTCTCTGGTGTCGATGCTGCATGTGTTCTTGTGCTTTTAAAAGCCTTGCACCACTGTGTACACTTTGTGTCCCGAGCTTTAAACACAGACAAACACTCCAGCCTGTCTGCAGAGACGCTAATACTTTCTCTTTGTGTCAGCCAGAAAACTTTTCATAAAAGCAATAAAAGCAATTTACAGCCTGAGGGGCAGAGTCACAGGGTGCTGGCTTAGTTTGAACATGGGAACACGCAGTACGTTGCTGTCAGCGGCACGAATGACAAGAGCCGATGGATCGGAAAGCTGCAACTTTAAAGCATACATTTGGAGCCTGGGCAAAAATGTTTCAAGGGTGACTGAGAACAGGGCGTTTTAAATAAATCCTAATATAAGCACTAAATGTGGGTAATAATCACCAAAACCCACCATGTCTTCTTATTGTACAGCTGATGTACCTTTGATATAAGGCAGCCAAGAGCAGATTGAAGAGGGGTATGATATGTCTCAGCAAAGCTCTGTGTCAGGCTGTGCTAGTACAGTGCTGCTGACCACACATGAAAGGGATGAAGAGCAGCCACAAGACAGGTGGTCTCTTAACACCACGTGGTCCAGTCTGTTGATGCTACACACACACGCACACACGGGAACAGAACAGCCCCTTTCTTGTGCCAGCGAGTCACCAGATGGCCCATCTGCTTCGCCCCTCTGCCCAGCAGGATGCCGGGCTAGTGGTGCCCACAGATCGCCAGCCCAATTCTCCACACGCTTCTTGGCAGGCGGGCGTTGTGACAGCCCCGCTTGTTGAAGATCAAATGCTAATCGCCACTCACTCTTGTTGCTCTGCCGCCACACGTCCTCCAAGAAAAGACTGTCTGTCTCTCCACTAGATCATGAGACAAACCTACAAATGCTACCCACATCCAGAAGTGCCTCGAACACTGTGAGGCACTTCATGTCAAATATGGATAACATCAACACTCGGGCCAATGTTTCACTGGCAGAGGCCTCTCCTTTGTCACAGTGTGAGGACTGTGCTGAAATGACAGAGGAAGTTAATTAAAAAGAGGACAGCAGAGGATGGGATTTCAGAGGAGGGTTGTGGGGAATTGTCTGAGCCAGACAAATCAGAGCCATGCTCCTCAAAACCACACACAGCGATTTTAGTTTTATTGGACTGATTGAACAGCAATCACAGCCAAGACCAAGCAGGCAAGCACGTATATGCATACGTGCAACACTAACCTCTTTCAGCTCTGTTACATCACTCTCAAGTAAACAGTTTGATGTTGGCTGTAGGTCTCCGAGGGAAACTCCCACCTCTTTAGACTAGAGAAGTGGAAGGTCTGCTCTCTAGCTGCCTGGTGGCCTGAGCAGTATGACCTCATGTCTGACATCACTCTAGTGGAGTCCCAAGGAAATGGCCATTTAAGGGGTCAACTTTACTAAACTTTGCAACGTGTCTCCTGGGCTCACTGGATTTCCATTTTCCAGAGCAGCTTGTCTGTAACAGACATCAAATAGACAGTCCATAAAGAGAATCACAGAGATCAGTAGGTGGAGAGGACAAGACATCTGGGATAGTTTGATCAATTAGAACATGTGCTTAGGTCAAAGCACTATAATGATGGAAGACAGAAAGGATCAGGGAAACCTGGCATTGCAGGCTACAAAAGTACAGACTGTTATTCTAACCAATTGTGAAACTGATTGACTTTGACAATTAGCTTGTTCTCTGATTGGTTTGAAGGAACATCTGCATATTTGTGGACATCAGGGGTATGCTTAAACTCCAGGACTGGCAGCAAGTTTTAAAGGAACATACCACTGACGTAACCTCACATGACATAAATGTGAAGCTAAAGCCAGCAGCCAGTTAGCTTAGCTTAGCATAAAGACTGGAAGTAGGGGGAAACAGCAAGCCTGGCCCTGCCCGAAGCCTACCAATACCTTTGAAGCTCACTAATTAACATGTTTTATCTGTTAAATCCATATAAAAATAAAATGTTTTAGGAGTACATGTTGTGTGCTGGACTATTTCATGGCTAGGAGCCATAATGACAAATTGTTATTTTTATGCTGTACGGATTAAACAAATGAGATATAACATAATTAGTGAATTTAGAGGTATTGGTAGGTTTTGTTATGAAGCCATGCAGGCTAGCCATTTCCTCGTTTCCAGTCTTTATGCTAAGCTATGCTAACTGGCTGCTAGGTCTAGCTTCATATCTACTGTACAGACATACAATCAATCAATCCTCAATCAATGTCCAACTTTTTCTTCAACTATAAATCTTGTATACAGAGAATTTTTTAAAGCATGCCACATACTAATAGTTGGTTTCATTTCATTTCTGTATAGTTTGGACATAAGCAGACTCTTGAAAGCTTCTTATGTTGTGTGATTCATTACAGTAAAACAAAATTCTTTTGTTGCATTATTGTTGTGTGATAATCCAGTTTAAATGCAGATTAGTTTGACTCATGAAATTTGCAATGCATCACCTCACAACAATAGTATAATTAGATAAAAACAAAAAGGCTTTCAAGAGTCTTCTAATTAATTTTCATATTGTATGGATTAAAATAGAAAGCCAATGAACACCTTGAAAAGTAGACAAATATATCAACATTTCTAAAAAACATGCATGTTTGCAACACAGCCACTAATATGGCCCTAATTGCTGACAAGACAACACAGGTTTTAAAATACTGTATCCAAAATAAAAACTAACAACACAAATCTACACTACCAATGAGGTCACATATAGTGCATCACAGCCCTGATATCATGAGGAGACGGTGAGCTGGTCACAATACCCGGTAGGCTGTCTGAAATGCAACATGGGCAGGAAGTAAAGGGTGATTAGTGAGCCACGGATATTTAGGTGACTTACTCTTTTTAAAAGGTCAGTGGCGGGGGTGTCCTGTCCGCTGAATGTGTGCCAAGACTGAGCTGTGGCCAAATGAGTCAGAAGTATTATTCAGGCTGATTCTGGGAAGTAAGACAATACAGTGTGTCCTCCTGCACACTGAGCAAGCTCAGGGTTTTTTTTTAATGCAGGGACACACTTGAGGACTTGTGGGTGGTGGAAGGAGTGTGTGGGCAGGAGAACGTCACACCATGTGGGACCTCAGCTCTCATTTATCATAACTTTCCCCTTGCTTTGTCTCACAGGATTTATTGCTGAGCAGAGATCCAAGGTTTTCAAGGGAACATGAGGCCTAACAACTCCTTCCTACAAAACAACAAGAGGACTCTTCCCGTCGTCTGGCACTAAATCTATGTTTTATTTCAAATAAAGGAATTTCCCTTTTGATTTGATGCCATTATTTACACATTTTGTCTGTAAATGCCTGCTCAATTAGACGAACTGCACTGGAGTGCCAATTATTCAAGGGAGTTTGGGCTCTTTATTCTGCAAAGCACTAGTGAGTTTCATTTAGAATTGCAATTTAGGATCATTTCACAATCCATTAAGTCTCTAAAATCTTAGAAAAGAGCCTCCTAACATGTTTAAATAGCTCGGTTTGTCCATCCAACTGCACAAAACACAAGGACATTTATTCTTTAAGGGCTCTTCATCAGGTGCAGAAACATCAAGCTAACTCAGGTGTGTCATTGAATAAATAATCCAGTCCTTCCTATGGGTGTGTAGCTACAAACACAGAATTAGTGCATCTCCACTTGTGTATAAATATGTACCACGCAAGCCAGCATTATGTACCTAGTACACGCTCACAGAGAAGCCTCGTTTTGTGGAGCCTTAAAAGGGGTTTTGTAGAATAACATGCAGTATTCCCTAAAGTAAGGTATTTAAAAAGTTCCACTTTAATCACTGTGTCTGGAAAATGGTGAAAAATGCCATTGCACACACTGTTTTATTTCACCAACAGGCCAGATTTAAAATATGTTCTGTTTATGGAGAAAACCGAGGGTCTGGAATCAGTGAATGTTTTGAGCATTTGTGCTCAATGACTTAAGTGATTAATCAATCATAAGTTGGTTTCATCACTCCAGTTTTGAACCAGGAGGCAATAGCAGTCATAGGAGAAAGTACTCTGTATGATCAGGGCCCAAAAGGGGGCATATAAATAGTAGAGCTGGGTGTACTATGTTAACTCAATCCACTGGTACCAATCAGACTCTGGTGTAAGAGGATCCTCCTCAGTGAAAGTGATGGCTCTATTAGCACAGAGATAAGTAGATCTGTCTGCCATTATCATCAACCACACAACACTAGCTAAAAATAGCCGAACGAAGGAGCGATTCTCCTGCCATCCACAATATATATCCACTCCCTGGATCACTAGAACCATACTCTCCCCCCCCTGAGAGGAATCTAAGCACAATCTGTAAAGTAAGCTGTCTTTTCCATTATGTGGTGATATGCTATTACAAGCACATTCATTCATTGTGTTTCTCCACCCAAATGCAGCCATGCAGAGACAGCTCATAGACTTAAACCCATTTCACAAGACAGAATGTCAAACAGCTGTGGTTCAGGAAGAGGCAAGAAAAGGATTTCTGCTTTGCCACCAAAGGTTTATCCATGAAGAGTGTGTCAGTTCTGTGCTTTTGATGCTCAAGAGGCTGAGTGAGTGTGGCAAAGAAAAATCCAAAAGCAATTTCACGATTTAATTTCAAGAGTCCCCCCCGTCGATTTCATTTAACATCACAGCAACAAACTATAAACCAGCCTTTGCTTTTTTATTTATATACTCATATTGAAACAAATTGGGATACAATCAAGAACAAGGGTGCCCGGTCAGTTATAGAATTCCACATACCATTCGACACAAACTTGTCCACAGTTGTTATTTGTTGTCTATCCGGCTGTCCTTACGGGCTCTGCTGCTGCTGCTGATGGCTTTGTCCTTACGGTCAGACAAGCCGTGCAGACAAAGCTCAATCAGGACAACTTCCTCTTGGTTTCTGAAGGGGAGGAAGCTGGACTTGGCTGCACTCTAAGAAAGGTGACCCAGGCTGACTTTGGAAGGCAGTCAGACCCCTTCGGCTTTCTTTCTACTGTAGGTTTAATTCAAAAAGTGATAAAAGTTGATTTTCTTCCATTAGCCTTATACCCCATAACGACAAAGCACTTACATGTTGTAGGTTTTGTCAAATTTAATGAAAAAAACCCTAAAATTTCACACATGTAAGTGGACTTTTAGCTCAGTGTTACTGTACAGAAGCGCCACTGTCAGCAGTGACTGATTTACGTCATCTTGGGTGTGCCACAACCAGCTTTGCGCACCTGTATTTGTGCAGTGTCAGTCTTTCTTCATTGCACATGACCTCAAGCTCTGCCACATTGTTTAGAAAGTGTTTGAAAGGTGAGATCTTTATATTTATGTTCAGTTCTGGGTTCAACAAAGACAAACAGAGAATAGGAGCTGCTCCAGCATTACCAATGACTATCCTTCTGTTTCTGAGTATTCTCACGGATAGATCTGTAGTTGTCCGAGCTCGTTGTTCTCTATGTCCTGACCTGTCTCCGTGGTCTCCGCAGCTGAGGAAGCATGATACTACAACTACTTTGCTTCACCGTAGAGATGGTATGATCCAGGTAGCTGATATTTGGCTTGTGCCAAACACAGTGCTTGGCAATCAGGCTAAAGAGCTCAATTTCTTGTCTTGTCAGACTAGACAATCTTTTTACTCTCATGCCCAGAGTTGTTTGTGCCATCTGGCAACGTCTGAAACGGCTTTCGTTAGTGTTTTGCTAAAGAGTGGCTTCCTTCTAGCCTCCTATCTACCACAAAGCTCTGATTGATGTGATGAGTGCTGCAGAGATTATTGCCCTTCTGTTCTGGCTCTCCGATCTCTGCATAGTACTGGAGCTCTCTTATAAAGGTTACTGGGGCTTTCTTGCCCAGTTCCTGAGTTTGGTCAGATTGGCAGCTTTAGGAAGAGCCATGATGGTGGTACCAAACATCTTCAAACAATGTCCCAGTGATGATTGCCCCCATATCTGGCTCTATACTTTAACACAATGCTATCAAACAGGTCTACAGAGAACTCCTTGGGCTTATTTGCTTGGTTTTAGCAGATGAGGTTATTTATTATGTCCAAAGAACTTAATCTGGCCGACACAAATTTAACTTAAGTTCTACAGATGAATGACTGAAGACTAAATTAAATCAGAACTCAGTTTCGAGCATTATAACAATGGCTTCGATTACCCTTTGTAAAACTGGTATTTCTACATTTCAATAGATATTTTAAAACGTTTTGCATTGCATCACGGTTTATTTGTCTATAGACTAAAGACTGATCGGGGGAAAAAACATCTAACTTAAAAGGGGCACTCCAGAATAGTCAGATTAGGGTGAATTTTTTTAAAAATCGAGAGTCCAAGACATCCTGAATTTTAGTCCTGTGAAGCGGTCAAGCTCCACAAATACAGGCTCCTACATATCCCATAATGCAATCGATCACATTTTTCTTTTGAGCAGGCTTTCTGTTAGACAAGGCAACACACTGTCAAAGCTAGTCAAGAAGTTATGACACTTTCTTCCACTCTAATGACAAACTCCTTTCTAGTGTAACCAGGCAACGTCCAAAACAGGCCTTCCAGGGAAGATAATTAACCCTCTTATATGAGTCACAGTAACCTTTCACCCCCAGCCCCTCTGGTCGGTAGGCGTCTGGCAAGTGGTTAGGCTTCTGTGAATCTGGCATATGATAGCATGACTTCATACTCCTCAGTGGAGAAGAGGTCACGTTCACTCTGATTAAGACACTCAGCTAATGACTGGCAGAGAGGAGCCAGCCTGAAATTGTCCTGAGAGTTGACAGCAGGATGTTAAGGAGAGTTAATAGATGAACACAATTTTCTCATAAGTGGGCTGCTGAGAAATATAGCCCACATGAGCACGAGTCTGCAGTGCACGACATGCTTTATAACACTCCTTTCAAGAATGACAACGCAGGCCAGGAATGCTTTCTGAGAATCTTTCATCAGAATGAAACTCGCCTTAAAGCACATGACAAACAATATCGACCTTGCAATAAACTCCTGTTTCAGACCCCTTTCTTCATTAGTCCCATCAAAACACAATTACAGAGGTAACCCTGTGGCTTCTGTCTCTGGCTGGTATCTTTACTGTGGGATCCAGTCCCGTTATCAGCCAAATGGATTGTTTTGCTAGAGGCACACCAACCATATCTGTGGGCGGCTTCCACTTGACAGTTTGACTCTCACTTTAAGGCTATTTCGGAGCCCCAAGGGCATGCCAATGTGCTGATAAACTCATCCGTCAGTTTGATGCTCAGACTCCTTTGAGTGCAGTTGGTATAGATTTGATTTGATGAACACGATGGCCTCATTAAAATCTAATTTCACAGATTGTCTCAGAGGTCTGCCACCGCAGGAATACGCGGCGGCGAGCTCGCAGCATCCTCATCACTTTTTACACTATAAATACTTGGAAGAAATGCATGGACAGGAGTGGACAGGAAGCAGGAGGAACATGTGAAGGATGAGGAATCCTCCTTTTCAAGGAAAACACCGGTTTTAACTGACCACTGTGAATCACAGAGGCCTGAGAGAGACTGACAGCAGAGGAAAAAAAATGGATTTAGACCATGAATGAGTCTGCAAGCACAGGATGACAATGACTTTCCAGACATCACTCACACCTCCAGACATTCAATTTCTACTTTACTGTTAATAAGAACTCCATTGTTAAAACCATAAAAGAGTATTTTGTACTGGAAATAAACATTTATAATCAAATGCAAGCCTTTATCCTAGCGACAAAGTATGAATTCCCTAAACAAAGTGTATCTTCTTACAACAAAAATGGGGCTGATTATGGGCCTGTACTTTCCAAATTCAAGTTTACTGAAGAAACACTTGCACTCCAATTCATTTAGGGTCGTCCAAGAAACAGTTTCCACTTGCAAGGAGGCCCCATCCAGTAAACAACTACTGCACATGCTTGTGTCTGATCTGAACAGCCATTTACACAACAACTGAGCAAAATAATAATAGCTGCAAGTCTACTTCAATGTCCCGGCATTTCAGTTGCAATAAACAGGAAATAACAGCAGTAGTCTCAGTAGTGGCACAAAACAAATGCAGAAATAATCCAGACTGGGACTCTTACCTTGTTATCTATATTCCATGATCTTGTCGTGGCTGCAGGATTTATGAAGATGAATCAAGTGGCGAGTTTTAAGTTCTGACAGATAAAACGACAGGAAGAGCGGAAAAATCCCAACAGATGCAGAGCAACAACAACAACAACAAAAATCTTCCAAAACACTGGGCTGAAATCCGGAAACTGCGCTCGGCACTAAAGCGCAGAAAAGGACTAAAACACAACCTGTGTGTTCAGGCAGAAAGATCTCCTCTCCCCTCCAGGTGCATAATCCAGAGTTTACAGGCAGGAATGAGCCGCAATGGCTGGTGTCTCTCAGAGGAAAGTTTTTTTTCCGTCCTGCTCTCCGCTGCTCTGCACACACACTACACTGAAGAGCTGAGTTTTTCCCTGGAGCTGCGCCTCTGATGTCAGCAACAACGTGAGCTCCAGGAAGTGGTGACGCTCTCCGGTGGTGCGTTTCCAAGGCGGCGGCGTCAAACTGGAGGAAGCACCGCCCCCCGGTGGACACCTGGGGGAAGTACAACATGTGCTTCAAAGGACTGTTTTCTGTTCAATGTTATTACAGTGTACTCGTTGTGCACTGGGAAACCTCTTGTACTTAAACACTGTATATAAGAGGGGTTTAAGTTCAATTCAGTTCAGTTCAAAGGGGCTTTATTGGTATAGGAAATATTTGTTTACATTGTTGAAGCAAGTGTGAAATATATGTATATACAGATTATTGAGAAAAATAAATAAATAAATGAAACTAGCTCTTATTAGCTCATTAGTTGGTAACGTACTGTACATTTACACACTTTTATGGATCCTTTTGTGTAATAATACTACTGTATGTTTGACCTTTTCACCGTTATTATCTGTTAACCGATTACAAACCTAAAACACATAAATACAAAAATGCAAAAACAAACTTTTACACATTTATTTCACAGTTTATTCAGTGGTGGAATGTAACATTTACTGTAATTACATTTCCCCCATTACTACTGTAGTTCAGTTCTGGTGAATATTTCTGATAAACTGAGGGATTCACTTTTCCTTTACTGAGTTGAGAAAATTCTCTTACTTCTTAAGCTAAATAAACTTATTAAAAACCTCTTGCTCTCTCTGGCTGGAAAACGCATCACAAATGATGTTTTTCTGAGCACAAGAAAAGTTGACTTTCTAGAGATACTCACAGACTACAACCATATAAAGATCTTACAGAACATGATGCATTGTATATAAAGTAGTTAAGATCAGTGCAACATTAAACTAAAGCAGCAGCAGTAAAATGCAACACACACACAGTCCCAGCCTTTGTAATTTTGTTTTGAAGAAGTGCTGTATTAATAAAGTTTATATTATATTTTATTAAAGCAGTAATATTCATCCAAAAACATCATGTATAACTGGATTTCTGAGTAGAATACATTTAAATGGGCTGAATAGAAGACTTGATCTTTTATGCTTTATGATGAGAAGAAAATTAGATAATTTTTTTGTAAAGCAAACCTTTATTTAATTGTATTTTCACTCTGCTTTTTAATTATTATTATTATTATTATGGAAAGCACAGGCATTCAGTACAGTATATACTATACACAGACAGTGTGTCCTCTTTTTTTATAAAGAGCAATGTTGACACAAAACTGATCATATCACAGATTTCACTTTCTTCTTAGCAAAGAGCGCACAAGGCAGGAACCATCGTGACAAACTGCAGCTGTTCATGGCGTCAGGAGAGCCACAGTAAAAGGTTAAAGAGGATAACAGTTCAGGATGCAGGTTTTCCAGTTGTGAAAACTTTCAGGAACTTTTAGCAAATCTACAAAAATGTGTGTGTATCCCTCCCTGTCTTGTCAGGACACCACACCTGATCAGAGCTGGCAGGCACTCTCACCCAATGAGCCACCCATTCTGAGTTCCCCTACAGTTTGTGTAGCTCCTGTGCCTGATAAGTGCTCCTCACGGCGATAGGAACTCCTCATTAGTGTAGCCACAGTGTCCCTGACCTGCTCTGTATTGATCCCAGTGGAGTTTCTAGCAACTGTGCCAGTCTACCGCCAACAGACAGAACTCCTCTTGGCTCAGTTTAAGCAGGTAAAAAGCCAAAATGTTCCACTAATTACTCAGTCCTCACAAATTCATCACCAGTATCCAAAATGTCCTCCCTTTACTGTGACTGCAGGATCCATCAGGAACTTGGAGCGAAGAGTAAGAGTAGTTTAAATACAGTTTTTACATGTGCACATCCTCATGATAAGCACACCGTATATACTGTACATATGTATACATACATATCAATTTCATGTAAACTAATACATTAATCATTCAATATTTATTTGAGGACTCTACGACCTTGCACTGTTGTATTTTTGTTTACAATTTAACAGTTTGACCAGCCATTGTATGTTGTTGTTCACTGTTGCTTTTTATATATGTATATATATCTTTTTTTCACTTACTTTTACTATTGTTGTTCAGCCTTTTTGTCTTTTTTTTTAGCTCTATGTGTCTTTTATCTTCCAATCAATTGTTCTGTGTCTAATCACATTAAGAGCAACTTAAAACCAGAGTCAGATTCCTTGTATTTGGACACACACTTGGCTTGGCATCTTGGTTGCTATTTTTCTGGCAGCACAGAGAACATGTTGTGTTTAATCAGCGAGTGTGTCGACGTGAGCGCCAGACTAATTGACAGTGACAGTAAAACAGACCATACAGATGCAGCAGTGTGTTGTAACTCGGGGAATGATTGAACACATCTTATAAGTATATTGTTCTCTTGGTAAGACTGCTGAACAATTGCAGTACAACCTCTAGAAGAGCCTACCTGTGCACCTTAATTATTTTAACCCCCGGGCAGTTCTATCTTCTCTTTTTGGCATATTAGAAAGATCAGAATAACAAATGCTCCACTGACCTTGGCTCCAGTATAGCTCTCTTCAGATTAATTCCACACAGCTCTTGTTTTATTGTGATCAGACATGCCCTTGCTCTGTGTAAGACTGCTTGAGTGCAATGAATATCAATTGGACATTTGCATCTCTCTGTGGATTTTTAGCGCTTGTAGAAGGCTGTACCGCTGAACTGTGCTGTAGATGAACACTACAGGCAGCTGTTATGAACATTAAGAGGCTGTGTGTGTGTGTGTGTGTGTGTGTGTGGTTTTTGCAGCGTGTGTTTAAGAGAGATTTGGGGTCACTGGATTAAATAAGACTGGGTTTGTATTCAGTTTTAGAAAAAGTAATCAAACTGCTTTTTCACATTGTGTAAATGGGTATTATTTTGACATTGCATGTATTTCTGTTTGTGTGACATTATTGACAATTCATCACGTGAACCTCATGCTAACAACACAGTCACGTATCATATTGATTTGTATATAGAAAATTTGATTTGGTTTTTGAGTACATTGCTGCATACGATTGCAAATTTACAGAAAAAATGAGTAATTACAGTTTTACTTACAGTTTTAATGGATACAATTGCTTGAAATTACTTTAAATAATGGAGTAATATTCATTTTAAACATGATTAATGTGAATCCAAGTACACAGAAACTGAATTCTGACACAGCAGTATGGCTGCATAATAGTTTATAATTATTTGGACAGATATTTATTCACAATATTTGCATCACAATTTATATTTTCACTGTAAAAAACTATTATGATGATGTGAAAGTTGTTGGGGTCTAAAGTATCAAACAAACATGTTTTCTTACATCTGGAGGACATGATTTGCAGGCCAGGGCATCTCTGCAGCACTACAGTACTTCATTACAATACTGTTTTGACACACATTTGACCTACATAGCAGCTATTTCTTCAGTAGTAACACTGGAACTGACACATGAATGAATCTCTCCAGCAGTCCACATAGATGTCCCAGTGAATTCCAGTCAGATGAGGGATGGAGCAGCACCAGCGCCGACTGGTTGTAGGTCAATAGTCAAAGCTTTTATTCTGTCAGAGTTCCTCCTCATGTTATGTGAACTGAACCAGCCTTTCCTACAGCACTGTAACAAGCTTGTAAGATGTGTGTGAGTGTGTGGAAACACTACTGGTGTTTATCCTTATGGCGGTCTTTTTTTTTATCATTACTAAAAAGGTCTTCTAGAAAAATCTATTTTCCCTTCAGGGCGAACTGTAGCTGATATCGATTTGTTGGAAATCAATGAGGCCTCTGGCAGCCAAGTTAAAACCTAAAAATACCGGGGAAGTGATTTTTTTTTTTAACTATACAGTAAATGATGGGTTTCCTGTGCTGTGGGCAACACTGAGATTTCACAGTGGTGAATCCCAAGAGAGGAGCCATTATGGGTCATCCTCTCCATTGCCTGTCAGGTGATTTGTGCTCAAGCACAAACACAAAGCAGAAAGTTTTTGCTCAAAACTACAGAACTGCTGTTTATGTGTTAGACAAACACAAGCTTCATTTGATATAAACCCCACTAGAAAAATGTATCCAGTATCAGTGATTAAACAGGCTTTCACAGTATCCATTTTCTGTGCTTTTCTGCTCTGAAAACCCTCTCTGGGGCCTTGGGGTGATTTGATTTCCTGAACTACAGGAAAATAGTAAACATAGTTTGAGTGACTGTAATTGAATCATATGAGTATCGACTGTAAATTAAGTCTTAACATATCTTAAGGTTGTGTCTTTATATTATTAATTGTCTTGATAGAAAACCAATAACAAGTTCATAATTTACTCTTATGTAACAAAATAAGGGAGACCTGACAAGTTGTTCTTTATATTTATTAACATTCTTACAAAAGGACTATTAATACGGTGACTTAAGGAGAGCAGGTTAAAGCAGGTGGTGATTGTGTGACTGTTAGTTACACCTGTACACTTCATCAAAGGATCCTGTTCCCTGTAGCTGCAGAGGGAGGGGGGTCTTCACCAGAGGAGACCGGATCACTACAACGGCCCTGAACTCTCTGTCCTCACTACAACACAAAAGAAAAATGTTAATATTTTATAATATATGCTTATCATCATCCCTGTGTGACAGTTTAATAGTGGTTTCTTACCTGGGAGAGAAACTGATCTGTAGACACTGACTGCAGCTGGTGACATGGACTTCCTTGGAGCTGAGATACCCAAAGTCTGGAGTCACTCTGAACACACAGGAGTCTCCATCTGACACCACAAACACATACACACATACAAACAAATACACAGGCATATATCAAGACTCATACTACATAACACATAACAAGGCAATCATTTGATGTTAAACTCTCTTATTATATTTAACTGACTTTCAAAAAGCTCCAAACTGGTCATAATAATGAAGAAGAGTCAGACTCTTTCCAACTGTTACAGCAAATAATTAAATAGTAAAGTACTGTATGTGTAAAGAAAATCATAATTCTGGCTAGTTGTGCCTAAAT